AATTATTAGCTAGTTTTGATGATAGAAAAAACACTTTTGATATTTGTTGACCTATTTTCTTCTTCACTCCCATATTCAATTATATTTGCCTCACCATTCACTTCACATGATTTCTTGTTATATGCATTCCGAAGTGTATGCTTTAACTTTGTGGTTATTTTCCATGTTTGTGAGGATATATATCTATGTGTGATTTTCTTTGTGAGGAAGCAATCTAGAATTTGTATGAGTGAAGCTCAAGGCTCGCTAGTTGGGATGTTTCATAAGTAACTGAAAAGGATATAGGCCTTCTTTGGTCGTTTGAGCTTTTCAAGCCAACCTTAATAATAATCTTTATCCCTAGTTACCCCATTTGAGCCTTAAGCCTATTTTTTGTTGATAAAAATCTCACATGCAACCCTTTGTGTTTTAATTGTTACAAACCTTTTTTATGTATGGGTATGCATAGTTTCTAGGTTGAGTGGATGAATTGTTAGAGTACAAAAGAAAAGTATATAGGGGGAATGAGAAAAGGAAAAAGAAAAAGAAGAGGATGAAAAAAGAGAAAAATAATGTGAATGAGAAAAAGAAAGAAAACTGAAGAAGTAAGAATGAGAAAAGGAAAAAGAAAAAGAAGAGGGATGAGAAAAAGAAAAAGAATGTGAATGAGAAAAAGAAAGAAAACTGAAAAAGTGAGAATGAGAAAAAGAAAAAGGAATGAAAAAAAAAAGAATATCAAATTCAGGGGGAACAAGTTTCATTTGAGTTTCAAAGTAAAAACCCTGTTTTTGAGTGTTTATCATATGAGATGGAAACTTAGAAAAGAAGAAAAAGAAAAAGAAATCTTCATGATGGAAAATAGTATTGAGAATATCAAAAGATAAGGTTTAGGGACTATGCATAACTGTACTATCTCTTATTTATTTTCTACTACCCTGATACTATTTTATTTTTGTTCATATCCACCTGTTACATTACAAGCTTTAAAGTCCTATTGATTTGGTGGCTTATGAAATATTCCAACACTAAGAGTGGAGAGCAGTCATGAGGTACAAGCCTATGGAAAGCTTAGAGAATAAGAAACAAGAGTGATTCTAAAGTTGAGTGCAAAGGCAAATTACTGCATTGTTATTGCATATGCTTTGGAATGTTTTCCGTTGTTGCCTTTCATCATTTTCTATATTCTTATTCTTCACTATTTTTTCATTGTTGAGCTATTACTCCCTATTCATGCTACCTTGACAGCTTTTCTTCCTTATCTTGAGTGTTTACTCTTCATCTTTTCGATGATGCCAAAAGGGGGAAATAGATGTCACATTTTAAGAATTAAAATTTAGTTGTAGCTTAACAAAGTCAGGGGGAATAGTGTTCATGCAATCATCATTGAACATTCATGTTATATCTGTGATGAATTAATTTTTATCGGTACATGGCATAAATTGTTTGTCATCATCAAAAAGGGGGAAATTGTTGGATATTTGTTATACCTCAATTGTTTATTGATTTAAAATATGTTTTGATGATTACAATCAATTTAATGTTAATTTAATTGATAATATTTTATATTCTTGAAATTACTGATGAAATGATTGTTTGAGATTTCAGAATAATATTTATTCTGATTTGAATTAGTATTCAAGATAATTGAAGATTGCATGAAGATTATTTTATATAGATGTCACATTTTAAGAATTAAAATTTAGTTGTAGCTTAACAAAGTCAGGGGGAATAGTGTTCATGCAATCATCATTGAACATTCATGTTATATCTGTGATGAATTAATTTTTCTCGGTACATGGCATAAATTGTTTGTCATCATCCAAAAGGGGGAAATTGTTGGATATTTGTTATACCCCAATTGTTTAATTGATTTAAAATATGTTTTGAGGATTACAATCAATTTAATGTTAATTTAATTGATATTATTTTATATTCTTGAAATTACTAATGAAATGATTGTTTGAGATTTTAGAATAATATTTATTCTGATTTGAATTAGTATTCAAGATAATTGAAGATTGCATGAAGATTATAGAAGATATGGAAGATATCATGAAGAGAGAAAAAAACATGGGATCAATATTCAAGATAATTAAAGATTGCATGCAGATTGGAGAAGATATGGAAGATATCATGAAGATATATAAAAGCATGGAATCAAGTATAGATTAGGAAAGATTTTATCTTTTTAGATTTCATGTAAGAGAAATAAAATATTATTTGCCAAAGATTTGATTAGGATTGCATTGGATAATAGAGTAAGATGTTATTATTATAAATGAGGCTCATTGCATATTATTTCAGTGTGGAGAAAAAACAAGAAAGAGAAGAGAGGAAAAAGTACAAGAGAGAAAAGAGAGAAGAATATACAAGAAAGAAAAGAGAGTTAGTTTTTCAAGATTAGGATTCTTTCTTGTGCATCAATTGAAGAGCTTTCTCAAGAACATTCATTCATACATTCATCCATACATTCATCCTTTGGCAAAGTGAATATTTCTCCATAGGAATTCAAATTACCTATATGCTTAATGAAAAAAAGCACTGAGGTAAGTCATTTAATTTGTAATTTTCTTCTTGACCTTTTTGAAGGTCTGTACTGGGAAACTTGGATACCAGTTCTTGTGTTGGGAAACTGGGATACCAGCATGTCTCTTTTTCTTGGAAATTGAGAGTAAGTTGAGAACCCTTGTGTGATAGGGTTTCGGAATCCTAAATGGTTAGGGTTTCGTACTGGGAAACTAGGATACCAGTTTGGGAATTTGTGTAAGAGGTAGACTAGGAAACTAGGATACTAGAGAACTCTTTGTACACAAGTTTCATAGTGGAGTTGCCCGTCGAATTTCAGTATTCGATTTCAGGGCCCCTGATTTTTCTTCCCTTTTGGGTTTTCCACGTAAAAACTATTGTGTTAATATCTCTCTACCCTTATCTTGAGTTATTGCTTTGAGTTAATTTTTTATTAACGAATTATTTTATAAACTCAATTCACTCCAATCTTGAGTTCATCTGGGACCAACTGAATTATTTATTGCCATCTCTCTACCCTTATCTTGAATTATATTTCCTTTCTCTCACGATTGCACTCGCCACACCAGCTGGAGAAATCTTTTTGATATCGTTTCATCTCTCTAAAGACAGAACTACAATATATATATCTTTAAATTAATGAGCAGAGAAAAAAACTTAAAGTGGAAAATAGCATTCCAGCTTGATGCTGCAATTATGCAATCAGAATATGAGATTTCTGCCACTATTCTGACACACGTCATTTAGGAAAATTCATTAATAAGAAACATGACTATTTCTGAAAATAAAAAAAGAGAATGAATGGGCAAACGTAGCCATTCAATCTATAACCCAATGCACTCTGAGGAGACGTGAAGTGGATCAAATGCAATAATCATTCGTATGGTAAAAAGAGATGGGCCTATTTTTTTTTAAGGTTCCACATGTAGCATAATTATTTTGAGAATTTTTCATTTTTAAATTAGCTTGGAGGTTGAGTTATTTTGATTTAATAATTTAATAAATAAGAATATCCTATTAAATTTAATTTCAAATATATCATGATTCATAAATCATAAACAATTAAATAACTTTGGTGTAAATATACCTTGCTCATACATTTTTGGAAAAAGTTCAAAAATCCCCCTATGTTATTACTTTGAATCACTTACATCCGTATGCATTTTTTAATCACTTAACCTCCTCTCTGGTTTTTTCCATCCACACATATGCTTAAAATTGTTAGGAACTTAACCAATACACATATTTTACCCTTCTTAGAAGAAGAAAATAAAGTGAGCTAAAAAAATAAGACCAAATATTATGAAAACTTCGAACACTTAATAAAAGACTAATATAAATAAAAAAATTCAAATGTGTCTAAATAAAAAGAAGAATAAATACAAAAAATAGAAAAATAATAAGGTCAAATATGTTAAAAATCAAAACACTGCAAAAGATTAAAATTTAAAAAATAAAATTAGTTCAAATGATAAAAAATACCACAGACGAAAAATAAAAGAAAAAATTAAGATAAAAAGAAAGAAAAAAATCACAATTATGAGTTTTCCATATAATTGATTTTATTTTTTCTTTATTTTTTTTGTCCTTAATCTATTTTATTCTTTTTTTATTTAAGATATGTGGTGTCTTTTTTCTTTTCTTATTTTTTTCTTTTTGTTCTATTTTATTTTGAATACATTTTTCTTTTTCTTTTTATCCTTGTGCCTCTCTATTTATTAAATATTTTCGTAATTTTTTTTAAAAAGAGAGAATAAAATAAAGATATAAAAAAGTTCAAATATATCTAAATAAAAAAGTAAAATCAAATATATTGAAAATTCATAATTGTGAATCATTTTTTTCTAGATTTTTATTTTCTTTTATATCTGAATATTTTCTTCTATTTTATTTTTTAAGTATATATTTTGTCATTTAAATTATTTTTATTTATTTTTTAAATTTAATTTTTCTGTCGTGATTTTTAACATTTGATCTTTTTTATCTTTATTTTATTTTTTATTTAGATGCGTTTGATACTCTCTTTTTTAGTATTTAATTAAGTATTTTAAGTTTTCATAATATTGTTTTTTAATTTTTTATTACTTTATTTTCTTTTACTAATTAAAAGGTTAAAGTAGATATATTTAATTTAATCAAGTTAAGAAGAGAGATGGATCGAGAAACCGCGGGGAATAAAAACAGAAAGCACATGACACGGCTTAAATATCAAACGACTCCTTACCTTCTAAGAATATTGTTCACTTGTTGTTGTCTCACTCACTCACTCTCTCTCTCTTTCTCTCTCTCTCTCTCTTGTTCAAACGATTTCTGATCTTTCAAGTTTCAAGCTCTGAAGCTGAGGCTCCAAATCAAACATCACGACCACCACGCGCCGCCGCCATTCATTTTATTTTTTCTCTCTGTTCCTATATTTTCTTTACATTTGATTTTCTGCATTGTGTTTTTTCTGTCTTTGCAGGGTTTCTTAAGTTCTTCTTGTTCCCTCTCAAATCATGGATGCCCTCCACAGAATGAACAATCGGGAAAACGTAAGCCCCTCTTTCTGTATCTTGATTTTTGTTGTTACCCAAACAGAAAAAGAAAAACCCAAACCCTCGATTACGCTCAATGATTCAAATGTTCTCACTTTTTTTTCTTTTTCTTTTGTGTGGGTTTTGTCGGCAGTTGGATAGGTTCATTCCCAATAGGTCAGCCATGGACTTCGGTTACGCTCACTACATGCTTACAGAGGGAAGGAAGATCAAACGGAATCCAACGGCGGAGGTGATATCGCCGGCACGAGAACTCTACCGGAAGAGACTAGCGGAGGCCTTGAACATGAATAGGACTCGAATCTTGGAATTCAAGAATAAGCCACCAATGCCGATTGAATTAATCCCAAAGTATATCCTTTCCCCTCTTCAATCTTCGAAACCCATGCGATACATTCCTCAGGTACGTCAAAATGAAAAATTGTGGATTGCCTAATCGGGTTCTTTTTTAAAATTGCATTCTGAGTGTTTGTGAAATGTTTGTCAGAAATCTGACATGAACTTGAAAGTACCTGGCGTCATAGACGACTTTTCCTTGAACTTGCTAGACTGGGGTAGTAGCAACGTTCTTAGCATCGCACTTGAAGATTCTGTATATCTTTGGAATGTCGATGATAGCTCCGGTTCAGAACTTGTCACTGTTGATGAGGAAGACGGTCCCATTACAAGTGTTAGCTGGGCACCTGATGGACGCCGTTTAGCCATTGGTTTGAACAATTCCCATGTCCAGCTCTGGGATTGTTTCGATACTAAGCTGGTAGATGTCACACTTAATTCTTGTTTATATATATATTTACCATTTTTTTGGGTTTTTCTTTTCTTTTTTTTAAATTGAAATTTATGCATTTTGATTGTTATATGGTATGATTTGGTGAACGCAGCTGAGAACACTGAGGGGTGCACACCAATCACGAGTGGGTTCACTAGCTTGGAACGATCATATCCTCACAACAGGAGGATTGGATGGTAGAATTGTCAACAATGATGTCAGAGTAAGATCTCAGATTGTTGGAACCTACAGTGGACATCAACAGGGTGTGTGTGGGCTGAAGTGGTCTGCCTCGGGAAAACAATTGGCGAGTGGAGGCAATGATAATCTCATTCATATATGGGACAGATCCATGGCCTCTTCCAATTCAACAACTTGTTGGCTTCACAGGCTTGAGGAGCACAAAGATGCTGTAAAGGCATTGGCTTGGTGTCCATTTCAGGGAAATATACTAGCTTCTGGTGGAGGTGCTGGTGATCAGTGCATTAGGTTTTGGAACACAAACACTGGTGCATGCTTGAACTCTGTTGACACAGGATCTGAAGTGTGTGCTCTGCTGTGGAACAAGAATGAGCGTGAGTTGCTTAGCTCGCATGGTTTAACCCGTAACCATCTCACTCTTTGGAAATATCCTTCTATGGTGAAGATGGCAGAGCTCAATGGTCATACCTCCAGGGTGCTATTTATGACACAAAGTCCAGATGGCTGTACGGTGGCAACTGCAGTAGGGGACCAGGAACTGCGCTTTTGGAAGGCCTTTGGAACCCCAGAAACATGCAAACCACCAGCATCGAAGGCAAAAACTGAGCCCTTTGCTAATTTCAACCGTATCCGTTGAAGATCGCATGTATACGAGATACTGTGATATATCTAAGGGGTAGTCCTCCTGCCCCGAGTGATTTTGTATTAAAAAATTATTTCAATTTTTTTTTATTGTTTCCATGACACTTTTTGTATATTCTGACAAATGTATAGACATTTATACATGTACATACAGGGGCGGACCCAGGAACCCCCAAAATTAGAATTTTTTTTTAGGAAAGAGGTCTGACTGCCTCATCATGTCAACCTACTTCTTTGGTGCAGAAGGTGATTTCATTTGTTGCTTGACTTCGGTGCTACTTTAGTTTGTCTGATGAGTTTGTGAGAGTTGTGTCCCTTATATTAAATTAGACTGACCCGCTAGTCTCAGGAATCACACCCTTGTCATTAATATTTGGGATAATGTATGGGTTTTATTAGTGTTATGTTACATGATTTAAGTGTTGTTTCCAACACACACACAAAAATAGAGAGAGAAAGTGGAATGATGAAAGAGAAAGAAAAATATGTGGATCCCACCTCTTTAATGTGTGTGTAGAAAAGTGATGTTATATCATGTTACATGATAAACATAAAACCCATAATGTATTGTATCCAAGTTTTCCTGCTTTATTTATGTAGAGGAACAATTTTCAATCGCATATTTTGTACTCTTCGTCTGTTACTCTTTACTCTTAGCACATGCTTGCTTATAAGTGAAAGATGTTAAACCACACAGAAAAGCTAATAAGTTGCTTGGCAATAAAGAGGAAGATTTAAAAAAATGTCAGTACACCCTGAAAGAAAAATACTTCATCATATTTAAGTAGATAAAAGCAAGGTATGCATTGTATGATCATGTTTCTATAATTGTTGCTCTTGTAATGTTCCTTTGAGATATTGTTAATTATATCCGATAAAGAATGCACTGGCTCATCAAGACTGTATTTAACTATGATGCACCGACACTGACACGGGATATGACACGACACAACACATCGACACGGTAATTCTAAAAAATGGCATATTTTGACACGTTGGGACACGTTTTGATATTAAATAATATTTTTAATATATATAATATAATTTATATTTAATACATATAACAGTCCATAATATGTCATATAACCAATCAAATATTCAAATTTCGTAACATAAATATAAATGAAAATATTTTTTCGTACCTTGTTAAATTTTCATGTCAAATTTTATAACAGAAAAAAATTCATTAATAAATTATTTTTTTATGTTATAAAATAAAATTAAGACTAAAAAATAAAAAAACATGTCGGATGCGTGTCGGAACGTTGACCGCCTGTCGAAAAAACGTGTCAGAATATGTCGGAGAGTTAACCACATGTCCCAAAATATTGATCGCGTGTAAAAACATGTCGGTGTCCAACACGTATTTTTTTAAAAAAATGAGCATGTTTGGATATCATAAGTATTTAATGAGCCGATTCAAAGTAAGTTCTTCCAAATAATGCTTCTTTATTTTTGGAAATTGGAGGGTCTTTTAGGAAAAAAACTTTAATGCACCAATGCTCCAGGGAAATATCCCCCCACCCGCCCCCCTTTTAGCCATATTTTTTTAGTCCTTTTAAGACTTAAAAAAAAAATCTATTTAAAAAAAGGGAGACCGAACTCTCTGTACGTGCTCCCGTGCATTGAAATTTTTCTTGTCTTTTAGAGTCATAGTTATCGTTTCCATATAGAAATAGTTTCAAAAAAATAATAAGACAGAGCGACCCTCAATCCCGTCCCATTTAGATGAACAGAAAATTGGAGTAAAATTTATCAGAATCTTGAAGCAAAAGTTAATGCAGAGTGCAATAAATTGTAAATTGCGTAATTGTAAATGGTTTTGTAGATTTTCAGTTTTAAGAGACACATAAATAAAACAGAACCTGCAAAATCAATCACATTTTTTTTTTAATACAAGAAAGTTTAAGAGAGATTAGACACCGGTATCCCACTAGGGTCAGGGAAGACCCCCAACCTCTTTGACAATTTCTATGAGGGATAACATATCACCCTCCAACAAAGTCCTCACCCCCCAATCACATTTTAAAATTAAGTCGATTGAGATGAAGAAAATTGATTGCAGCATGTTTTCCCAAATCGATTTGAAACTGATTCCAAAACCAATTTATGGTTTACAATCAATTTTGATTTAATACTTGTTTTAATTAAAAACCAATTTTAAATTAAAATTGGTTTTGCGAATTTGATATGTATCTACTTTGTTACCTTTATATCTACTTTGTTATTAGCTACAACAAAAATGACATAAAACCTGTGTTTCTTATGATGTAAAATCATAGTAACCAGGGCATATACATATTTGAACAACAGAAGGGTGTTTTCTACTTTATATTTTAAATACACATTACCTTAAAAAAAAAATTACTCAACCCACCCCCTAAATGTCCAGCATAATTTTCCTGTAGAAAAATGCATACATAATTAGGAAAAGACAAAAAAAAAAACATATTAACACAATATGCATAATGCAACCTACATTCTTTAAAGGCTTTTTACCTATTACTACACTGTCAAGATAACTCGATGCTTATATTGGGAAAATTGAATCTGAAGCTCTTAAGAAACACAAAATCACAACAAATAGTCCCATGAAAAAAAGGGAAAAAAAAATTAAGGGCATCAAAAGAAGTAAGATAATTTTGTTAATGGAATATAAGTTAGGTTACTTTGAATATCCAAATTGTTTTGAGAAATGGACAATTGAACGTAAACCAAAATTACATGGATTGGTTTTTTAAATTGATTTTAAAAAATGAAAATGTTTAAAAAAAATAAAATTTGAACTGATTCAATTCAGTTCCTAAAATGCTTTGGATCATTTGGTATTTTTGCAAACCCCTACTAAAAATCAATGAACTAAGTAAGGACTTTGATGTGGTAATAATTATTACTCAAATTTGCTTATCCTTTATCATAGATTCCTTTAGAGCTGTCAAAATGGACCAGCCCGTCCCATCGGTTAGGGCCAAATGAACTTTAATAGTAAAGGTCTGCATGGGCCAAAAGCTCTATGGGTTAGGGCTAGCCCAAGGGCCATTCAAAATTATAATTTCATAATTTTTTTAACATATTCAATACATTAAAAACAATTTAACAAATAAATATTTAAAACTTTCTTAACATGTTTTATACAAATTATAATTTTTTTATAAAATAATATTTGTACACAAAATACAAGTGAAAATGTAACACCCTGCATGCATCCAGTTATGTTATCATCCATTACGACATTAAGCGTAGTTACAATCACAACAATTCATTTAAAAATACGGGAAAACGTTTTCTTTTTTATATCATTTATAAAACCCTTACATTTATAAAACGTCCATATTAAATATTTTACCAACTGCGATCATAGCTGAAATAAAAATACGAAGTAATATTTCTAATGCTTAAGTATCATATAACACCAATCTAAAAAACTAAGTGGTTCCCATAAACCAACAAAGGTAAGATACACAACTTGACATTTTTTCAACTGAGGTACCTACGATTTTAATTAAACTACTAATGATCCTCTCTACCAAAAATAACCAACTTTTGATATATTAAACTAGACTCTTCTATCTTTCCAACAAGGTATTACACGCCTCAATTGGAGTTCTATAACTCTGGATACACTCGCCGTAAGTTGATCCCTCAAAATTGTCAACAGACTCAAAATAGGACACTCAATATCCCTCAGTGTTTCTTCGATTCTAAACGATCTACAAGTCAGATTGCTCTCAAATTTTTATACAATATAGTAGATACCTAGATATACAATTTGATATATCATAAACCTAATTTGAGTAAGAAACAAAAGAGATAGAAATTTTTGAATATTGAACCCAAAAGTAGTGCCAAAACGCCAATTTTGGGAAATGCCCACTCATTTTGACACACGGGGCTTTCTACAGCTCGAATTGATACCAAATTTTAGGATAGTACATTTTACATCCTGAGCTTTAAAATGAGATCTGGAATACCTCAATTGGACAACTGTGGAGAGAAATATGGTCTCCCAAAGTTAAGTGAAATTCAGGTCATTTCATTAGAAATTTTGATAGCACCTCTTTTATTTTCTCAACTAATCCCACTTTTACAAGTGTGATCCATTTTCTCAAAAATATACCTAATTGACCACCATAGGGGGCACACAAAGATTCAACGTACCTTGGTGCTCTAATATACATCAATTTAAATCGTTGCTTAAACCTCAAGTTATCATCAACCACTTACTTGATTTATAAGCGATTATCCATTTCGTACACATTATCCAATTTTCATGCATTCACCATAATGAAACAACATCATTACCTATAATAGGCATGTTGCCCTTTCATCACATACATAAACATTTAATTACACAAGGTCCTCAATATATCCAATTACATTTACATCAATTACAAATATAACTATTACAATTCATTTTCAAAATACCAATAATACATAAAATTAGACTTAGCCTCAAAATACTACATGAACAAACCCTATGCATGGTATACATCAAATCATGCTATGCTAAATGTTCATGCATTAAGTCTAATCTACAACAGTAAATCGCAAAATACTTAAATTCTATATGCATAGTGCACTCTAAAATACTCCACTCCACGACATTATGTGGGTCTCTGGCCCAACGCCTCTCCAGCTACACTAGTATTACCTGAAATGTAATCCTTATAACGTGAGGTGAGATTTGACAATCTCAGTGAACTAATGAACCTTGAGGGTGACTCCTTCTAATAACTCACTCAAATATAAAACAATAATAATACACATATAATAGAGCAAACATCAAACAATCAAAACCGAATCCACATCCAAGAACTTATCCTCCACATATAATTCCACATATAATTCAAGGCACCCATTGTGAAATTCATAAGCAATTCAAGAATTTAAGTAATAATTTAAACAGATAATACTATGCATACATAAAGCTTTAAAATAATTAAATTCATAAGTAAAATATACAATCATCCCATCATTCCCACGCACAGCACACAGTATGCGTTAATTCAAAGCAAGCACACCTCTTGAAAATGTAAATGTCAGTAACAGTCAAAATTGGTTGAGTCCCTCTCTTTCACCAGAACACGACAAAAAAACAGACACCGAAGAAAAAGTAAAAACGGCGTTTTAAGGTTTCCTTTTATAGTGAGAGTTGAGGTTCCAAACCGATCAAAAATACGAAGACGACAAATCAAACTCCCTCACTCCACAACAAAATTTTCTCTTCTCGTTCTTTCTCACATCTTCTGCTGCTTGGTTTCTTGGAACCAAATCACTCGCTCCTCGTTGCGCACAAAAGGTACTGTTCTATTTATGTTTATTCAGTTATTGAATTGGATGAAGCTCAATTTATACCTGATTCATTGAAATCGAAAAATCTTTTTATTTTTACTTTTTATGGTACCTTTAGGAATTACAGAACCTAAACAGGGGGTTCTTGTAGTGATTATTTCGGTTTTATTATTAAATTGTGATTTTGAATTTGAGTTCAGCATCCTCTTCTCTGCTTGGTCTTTTTGTTTCAGTGACAGCAAGACTAAAATCTGTGTATATCTCTATGCAGTCTTTTATGTTTGACTCAGTTAATGTTTTAGATTCATTTTCGATTAGGGTTCATCATGTGACTGATCCTAGCAGTTACAACTCAGTTTTAATTGACTGAAGCTATCTAAGAAGTTTCTATTGATTTTTTATAACTTGTGAAAATCTTTGGGGCTTTGGGATTTAAAGACAGAATAATATACAAAAGAAGGTTGATTTTGTGTTCAATTCTTTGTAAAAAGGGTTTGCCATTAAGGCCTTTTGGCATTGTTTATGCTTTATTTGTCTTATTAATTTGTGTCATGCTGTTAACAGAGGTAGATCCACAATGTAAACTCTGTTTGGTGAAGCAAATTAAGATTTAATATTGATGTTTCTTGTTTGGAATCTGTAGCTTTCTTTTTTGTGCTTGCATGTGACATGGAAAGTCATAGTCGAAGCTAAATAAATTCTGACCTCAAGCATAAGAGTTCAATTGTAGTAATTTGTTTAGTTGCTTTTAGTTATTAATTTTTGTTTGCCCATCAAGTGGTTGATTGTCTTGTGTATTGGTGGGTAAATAATCTTGGATCTTGTACAAAAATTTTATTAGTTCTACTTTACTTTGTTTGATGAACTTTCTCTTGGGTTAATATACACTATAATATTGTTTAAATGTCCAAATTGAGGAGAAACAAAATACTGACTTCAACTGATTGGTTACTGGTTTTACTGGGCTTTTGTGTTTTTTAATTCTCAGTCTCCCATGTTAAGAATAGTGAACAGTGTGTGTATTCTGTAATGTATCATTCTTATCATTAACCCTGCATCCTGGTTGTCATGTGGAATATTCAATAAGAACATGACTAATACCCGTTTGCTCAGCTTGGGATACTTGTTTACTGTTTAGTCATTGTTTTGGGGGAAGGTGCATTTGTTATTCTTGATTGACTCAGTGTGTTGATGTTTATCTGATGTCTTGCTAGTAATCATATCAAGCAAGTTATTGTAATTGATTGTTTTGCTTGTATATGTTTTAGAGGCCTGTCAGATTCAGCCAAGGTTTTTGCATCATTATTCATTACTGTCCGGTGATAGTCTAGATATGGAAGACAAATCTACAATCTCTCTAAAAATCAAGACTGAGGATAAAAAGCCAGGTGATGTGAAGGAAGATAAGACTCAGGTAGAACTGAAGCTGAAGAACAAATCACTAGAAAAAGAGAATTTAGATATGGAAGAAAAATCTACAATCTGTCTTAAAATCAAGACTGAGGATGAAAAACCAGGTGATGTGAAGGAAGATAAGACTGAGGTAGAACTGAAGCTGAAGAGCAAATTACTAGAAAAAGAGAATAAACACGAGGATGAAATAAAGGAAAATGATGCAGAAGATAACGGTGGGGATGGTAAAGAGAAGAAACGGAAGGATAAGGAGGAAAAGGACAAGAGAAAAATGGAAAAGAAAGAAAAAGAGGACAAAAATGGCACAAAGAAGGGCAAAGAGAAAGAAAATGATGGCAAGGATGGCGAAGATAAGATGGAGAAGAAAGACAAGGAGAAGGGAAGGGAAAAGAAGGGCAAGGGTGAAGAAGTAGATATTGAAAATAAAAAGGGAAAAGACAATGAAGGTAAAGACAAGGAGAAAAGGAAGGATGAGGAGAAGAAGAAAAAGGAAAAGGATGAAGAAATTGAGAGAAAGAAGGTCAAGGGAAAAGAAGATGGAGGAGAGGATTGTGAAGACAAGAAGGAAAAGATGGAAAAGAAGTTGAAGGAGAAGACAAAGGAAAAGCAGGACAAGGATGAAGGAAAGGACACATTGAAGAAAAAGGGAAAAGAGGATGATGATGAAGAGAATAATAATAAGAATAGGGATAAGAAAGAAAAGGAGGAGGAGAAGAAAAAGGAAAAGAAGGACAAGGATGAAAAAATCAAGCTAGAGAAGGACAAAGGAAAAACTGATGAAGGAGAAGATGGAGAAGAGAAGAAAAAAAAGAAGGATAAGAAGAAAAAAGAAAATAAGGATAAGGGTGAGGAGGATGATGGGGAAGAAGAGGGTGAGAAAGATGGGAGGAAAACAATCAAAAAGAAAGAGAAGAAACCTGAAGAAATAGTGGATAAGGAAGGTGGCAATGTTGAAGTTGCTTCAAGGAAGTTAGATGAACAAAAAAATGAGCAAGAAGAGGAGGCAGATGAGCAAAAAGATGATGCCAAGGAAGTCAAAGAGAAGAAGAAAAATGAAGACAAGGACAAAGGTGGGAAGAAGAGAAAGCTAACTGGAAAGGCCAAGTCCAAGGATCTCAGCAAGCTGAAGCAAAAGCTTGAAATGATTAATGGAAAAATAGAAGCACTCCTTGAAAAAAAGGCAGACATAGAAAGACAGATAACAGAAGCAGAAGAGGAAGGTAAGGTAGTAGTCATCGAGAAGGCCAAGGATGTGGTAGAGTAGCAGTTCAAGATATGCTTTATTAGCATGCAAACAATGTATATATTAAATCAGCACTAGATGAATGGCTTTGTGTGAATAAACCTGTCTTCTGATTGAGTGATAAATGATACATTTGTGCCTATTTTCATGCTTCACTCATTTTGATTTCATTTTCAACCAACATAGTTTCTGATTGAAGGATGGTCACTTGTAACCATGTCATTTCCTATTCAGGGGAAACGCTACTTAGTGAATAAAGCAATCCTTCTAGCAGACCATTTGCAACCATAGTGAACAATGTCAAGAGTGAATAATTATCAACAAAAAGTAATTAACTACTGCATATAACATTACAAATGGAAATAAGTTGAGACGTGCGAAAGTGAGGTTAGCTCAATAGCTCATGCTTGGCTTTATCATGTTATTTGTTGGTACTCTTTAGTTTTTTATTTTTTTGGGGCTACACTTGTGTTTCAAACTTGTACTAACAATCTGCTGTAGTGGCAGTTTTATCATTTTGTAGTTATACTTAAATATCAAGATTAGTACATGTATGATACACGATATAATATATAATTAATAATAAAAATTAGTAGTTTAAAAATAATTATTCAGATTGTAAGATTAGCTGATTTAGCTCCATGGTTTATATATATATATATGATCGGACCAAATACGGTATGAATAGCCCAATACGTATTAAGCCCAAATCACACATGGTTGAGACTCCTTCGGTAGTTACTGGTCTGGGCCTGGTATTGCAGTTGGGGTGAGCCTGAGCTCTTTGTCCTTCGTCCTTCACGTTGCACCAAATGGGGGGTACCTGCGAAGACACTCTGATGCTTAAGTCAGTATCAGAGGCACAGGTGTTTATATTGTGAAAGTAAAGGATGATCGTACCTTGGTGATACATCGTGTGTTTATATAGTAGTTGAGATGTGTGCTTGGAGGATGCCTTTCTTCATGGTGAAGGCAAAGGTTCCTTGGTGCCAACGTTGTGTGGTTGTCATGGTTTAAATGTTGAGGAGTTTGCCGCCATGGTGTCTAGTAGTAGAGTTATGGCGAGCTGGAGCTGTCCGTTGCTTACTGGTGTGAGGGCGCGGTGGTGTTGCCTTGGCCCTTAAGTTTACTGTCTGTAAAAGGTATCCTGTTGCGAGGTGAGTAAGTACGTCTTGCGTGCCGCGATTAGGTCATCGCGCCTTGTATGACGCAATATGGTCATCGCGCTGGTGTGTCGCGATATGGTCATCGCGTCTGTACCCGTCCTTCATGCCTCGTTCTGGGTCCTTAATGGGTTTGGGCTTCCATGTGTTATTGGGCTCTGGTTGGGCCTATATTATATCCGGATCAATATATATATTATTTTTTATTTTTTATCTTTATTTTTATTTTTGTATGAAAGGAAAAGTTTATTCCTCTTGCATCCCATAAAAATCTAAGAGACTTCTAAGTTAATTGGCCAATTGAAAGCTTGGGCCCTCAAGTGCTCAATAGCAATTATAACACATGGGCTAATTTTTATATTTTCATGGTATCATTTTTATTTGTAATTTTTAATAAACATTTTATAATTCTTTTTAAGTTTACAACTTTTAGAGTAAAAAATATAATGGAAGAAAAGAGAGTAAAAGAGAAAAATAAAAGGGTGTAGAAAAAAATGGACGAGTAAAAACTGAATAGAGAAATTATGAAATTATTTAAAAAATTACATATTCAAAATTATGAATTAAAGAATATTTGATAAGATCAAATTACAAATAGGTAAGATCACATCTCTGTACGACTACACCACGAATTCAAGTTCAATGTTCCCTTTAAAAACTTATCTACCTATTTGACAAATAGAAAGGAATTGGATTCTCTCATATTTAATAAAAGTATAATATGATTATGTGGGATAATTATAATTATAAAAAGTAAATTAACGGTTATGATTTAGTAATTACTTATTTTAATATTTTTTATCTCTCTTCTTTTATCACCATTAATTCATTTTTATATAGTTATAATTGCTCACATAACCATATAATGTCTTTTTTAACATGAGAGAATTCACTCTGATTGCGAGGTAAATGGTCAATGTGGGATATCTAACCTAATGGAGTCTATGGAAGAGTAGAGTAGAGTTCATAAAATGTGTAAAACTTAATCTTTTATTAAGACTTAATCTTCTATTTACAAGAGAGGATTACCTGAATATGAGAGTTTGGGTAAGAGTCAACTCTTAATGAATGAGATCCTTTAATATTTGAATTAGAATAATTCTGATTTATTGTCTTCTAAAAACTATAGATTCATGGGATGAGTTCTAAACAATTGCCCAACTTAGTAATTTGAGAGTTCGTACTGCTTGTGCTAAATAGTGTGCTTTGATAGATACAAGGTATAGATAACCGAGCAGCTTGTGTAATGGGAGATTCACTTGTGGTTCAAACTGGAACTAACAATCCTTTGTAGCGACAGTTTGATTATTTTGCAGGTATACTTAAATATCAAGATTAGTACATGTGTGATAAATGATATGTATATAATAAAATTAAGGAAAATTATTTTCTCATGTTAGATAAGAAGAATTATCTTATATAGCATAGACAATATCACAAGCGGAATTTACAGACAAAAGAAGAGGATAAAAAAAATAAAGGTTAGATCCACCTTTATTTTGTGTGTATAAGACTTGGCTTTTCTCATGTGAATTGAAAGAAATATAACTCTAAAGGTAGTGTTTGGTAGAAGATTTATTTTGGGATTGATGGAAAAGTGTAAGTGGATATTGAAAAATATCACGTTTAGTTCAGGTTTTTGAAAAAAATACTAGGCAAATAGGATAGATGGGGAAATGACTTTTATGTTGATTTTTGTATGAAATTCACTGTTACAGAATATCACTTGAGATGTGGTATTTTGAGATAACTGGGGAAGTGAAAAAACAGGTGCGAAGTTTCTCCCGAACATAAATTTTGCAAATTTAAATAAATTTCCCTGGTAATTTTCGGTCAACCAAACAACTTTTTTTATATTTTCCTACCAAACTCACTTTCCAACTATTTCCCTAGTAATTATATTTCTCTAGTATTCAAAAAATTTCTCCTTAACCAAACGTCCCTTAAAATTAATATAAACTAAATCATAAAATTAGTAGTTTAAAATTAATTATCCAGAGGGGGTAAGGTGAGCTCCATTATTCATTTGATTATGTTTTGTTTTTGGATCAAAAGAAAAATTTATTATTAAAGTTGAATTTGCATCCCATAAAAATCTAGAAACATATTAGAAAAAGTCTTAAAATAAAAAACAGATATTTTGTATCTATAACTAAAGAAGTTATGAAATTGAAAGACCTAGAAAAGATCTTCTAATTTATTTATTTTTTTGAGATATTTCAATCAGTTCATTCCTTCATTATTAGTCTGATTTGGGGTGAATTATAGGATTAAAGTTTTAAATTCCTTCCAAATATGATACTGGGGGAATTGAACACAGGCTCTCATTCTCACCGGCTCAAATTCTTGGTACCAACTGAATTACTATCATTTAGTAGATCTTCTAATCTTTAAATATGTCATGTTAGACATATAATTTAACCTACATAGGCCAAGTCAAATGCAAAATATTTTACATAAATCTAATTTATTAACACCAAAATTTAAGCTAACTCAATCTATTTACACCTTTATATGTGCCCTCCAGCAATGGCAATGCGTGGTTCGCTTAATGCCACAACGGGGCATAAGGGTATCTCCACTGTGTGGGTTCCCTGAATGCCATAAATTCTTTTAGCTAGAGTGAACGGTCTGGAAAAATTTAAAATATTATTATTTAAATTAAAAATTACAAAATTATAATATTTTGAAATCAATTTATAAATATATAACAGTCAATTGCACCCTATACAAATGCAATAGGTCACGCCCCAAACAGAAATAATTTGTGCTAAATCGTGCCCCACATGAGCACAAGAAGTTACGCCTGATGAAGATGCAAATGTACGCCTGATGAAGATGCAAATAGGGAAGACCGACCATTTTGCCATATGTTGCAAAAAAATTTATCAGACTGTCATGTTAACAGTAAATTTTGTCAAAATGTCACGCGGCATATTTCGCTACACTGTGTAGCGAAATATGTTTGCATATAATTCGTTACACAGTGTAGCGAAATATGTCATGTCAGGCTGCACAGTCAGCAAAAATGACACGTGTCAAGCTGGTAGAAATTCGCTACACTGTGTAGCGAATTATGCTTGAATTCTGTCTGCTTGACACGTGTCATTTTTGCTGACTGTGCAGCCTGACATGGCATAATTCGCTACACTGTGTAGCGAATTATATACAAACATATTTTACTACACGGTGTAGCGAAATATGCCGCGTGGTATTTGGACAAAATTTACGACGTGACAGTTGATAAATTTTTTCGCAAAGAGTGACAAAATGATCAAACACACACCCCCTCCCCCCCCCAAGACGCGACTTAGCATTTTTATGGACAATTGACAAATGTATTAAAAGGACGATTTGATTTGATGGAAATATATGACAGATAAAAATCAGAATGAGGCGCGACCAGTTTAAATAAGTTACCATTTTTTTTTTGGTAAATGGAATCAGTTACCATTAGAATGAACACGCCCCGGCCATTCATTTGATTTGATTTCCCTTGAAATCTTGCACCTACCATCCATTTCTTTTGATCTTTTTTCCCGAGGCAACAAATATATTAAAGAAAAACAAGTTTAAACTTAATTTTTTATATTCCGTGATTATTTAAATTATTCAATATTTTTCTCATAAAGAAAAGATCATGTAATCATAATAACAAAAATTTCACTTTTATTAAACTTTTGATTTTGTACTTAATTAAGTGGTACCATATAATTTCTTGGAAATAAAAAAATTATTCTGCCAATTAAATTTAATGTAATTTAATTTAGTTTAAGTCAAATAACCACAAGCAGCCCAAAACCTTTACAAGTATGCTTTTTTAGTTGCAAAAAAATTTCTACGAAGTGGTGAGTAATAAAAGAAAAAAACTTATTATAAAATATAAATATTAAAACTCTCGCATAATAGACTTCAAACGAATTCGACATACTCATATACTTATGTTTAGATTTAAGAAACAAGAATACAAA